CACTTTGAAATGAAGAATACAATTTCCCTAAACTATTATCATCATGTTTTCCCTGAGCCTTGAGATTCCTCAGTCGCATTGGTGTCACTACCTTGACCTTTGTTAAATTAGAATAGGAATTTTGGTGTGTAAAACCTTCAGGCAAGGGTTTGCAAGCTCTGATTCTAGGCTTTATCAACCCATATTAAATGAATGCACGAGGTGATTCTTATTCTTGCTATCCACATGGGTTACTAAGCCAAAAAGAATACTGACTAAAGAAAACGCTTACTAAAAACTAAGATATGAAAGAGATTTGTCTTTTATTTATATAAAGGAGGAAACTGAGCCCAATATCCTGACAATGGTCAAACCTGAGAGAAAGCAAACAATGACTACAACGAAGGAATGACAGCAACTACTCAGAAAAAGTAAACCAAACCAAACAACTCTCCATGGAAAAGGTAACAGAGCTTTGTTTTAGATCTCTTTTTTTTTTAAAAATAATATGCACAGCCTTAAATATTTATTAACCTGGAAAAACTGGGATAAAGCATTAAGTCAAAGCATTATAGCTAGAAGGTTATCTTTCTTCAATATTTAACGGATCTGTGATCTTAATGTGGCATGCCCTCTCCTTCAGTTCACAATCCTTCCATCCTGTGTCATTCTTGTCCATGTTTTTAAGCAAATTCTTCACAGAAAACCCACTCAACATACTTGAGCCTTTCCTCTAAATCTTTTTACATTTTATGAATATCATAAAGAGCAGACTTTTTTTCTTTAAATGTGTTTTATTGACTCTTTTCTCAAGACAGGAATGTTCTCTATCCTTGCAAGCAATAAATATTGTTACTGATGTTCAGGTACCTCAAACTTGTTAACTGTCCAAAAATGAATACAACCACCTTGCAAAAGGCCCAGGATTTGAAGCCAAAGATCCTAGGCTAAAGTCCTAGCTCAGCCACTCACTATGCATGTGATCTAACCTGCTTGTGTCTCAGTCATCTGCAAAATTAGGGGGCTGGACTAGATAAAGTCTAAAGCTGGAAATTTATGATCCTATCAATGAACAAGATAAACTTTAATAAATTGCTAGAGCCTGATAATTTCTTTTCTGTGATGTGACATTGGTAAAAAAGCATTGTTGTTGAGCCTTTTTTTAGTCCTGTCTGATTCTTTGTAACTCCTTTTGGAGTTTTCTTGGCAAAGATACTAGCTAGAATGGTTTGCCATTTCCTTCTTCAGCTCATTTTACAGATGAGGAAACTGAAGCAAACAGGGTGAAGTGAGTGTTTGAGGCCACATTTGAACTGAGGAAGAGGAGTCTTCCTGATAATAGGCCTAGCACCTAGCTAGCTGCAATGTAAAAATACAGAGGATCTTAGGATTGTAGTAACTACAGAGCTGGGTGGGACCAACAGTTTAAACCCTGAATTTAACAGTTGAGAAAATTGAGACAAAGGTAGCTTAGATGAATTGCAATAAGTATCAGAAACATGATTAGAACATGGTCTCTCTGACTTGGAAAGGGCCCTGCATTTTGAATCTGAGGATCTAGTTCAGATCTTGGCCTTGCTGCTGTATGACCTAGGGGCAATAACACAGTCTCTTATACAGTCCCTTCTCTTGTAAAATTAGAAAGGCAAACTCGATGACCTCTACAATTCTTTCTGGATCCTGAGCTCTCTACAACCTTTCTGGAAAAAGCAATTCTTAGAAGGACACTAGGACTGGAATTTAAGAATATCTTGGGGGCAGCTAAGTGGTGCAGTGAATAGAGTTCTCTCCTTGGAGTCAGGAGGACCTGAATTCAAATCCAGCCTCAGACACATGACACTTACTAGATGTGTGAACCTGGGCAAGTCACTTAAGCCTGATCGCCTCACCAAAAAGCAAAAAAAGAAAAAAAAAGAGTATCTTGGAGGATCAAGCAATTAAAAAAAGTCAATTGATTCATCCAGTCCTTCTAATGAAAAAATTCCAAGCTCAATATCTATAAGTGTTCTACTTGAAAAATATGACTACCTACCCCTTCAAAATATAAGACAAATTTCAGATCTTGCACAGAAATCATCATCTTTTGCAACAACTGTTCTAGTTTCATACACATAGTCAGCAAACAATAAACGTGTCCAACTGAATTCCACTTTCTCTGATTCAGTATAAATCAGTACCCAAGATTCTTCAGTGGTTTTTATAGTTTATAGAGCAATTGATACTTAATAATTAAAACCCCCAAGAATGTGTTTTGATTTTTTGAATGATAATGCATACATCTGGGTAAAGCAGTCATAAACCAATAATCAAAATTTGCTAGAGCTTTGCAAATTGTTTTTTGCTAGTAGGGTTTGAGATGAAAATTCCCATAAGAAAAGATGTCATTTCTTTGATGGCAGAGGTTGGCCTTACATAAATTGTTCACTAAAACCTAGGTGTGTATTTTCAATTACCTACTGTTAAGCACTGAGTAGATGGTCTCACTTAAGATGAATGAAAAGAAGTAGGGTAAGTATATTTAATGAAGTATCCTTTTTTACAACATCATAATGATTGTGTGGGAAGGGAAAACTGCCTTTCATATACACTAATGACTGACAGTGCGCTTATCTCAAAAATTCATTTTCTTGTGGCACAGAGTATATTATGATTTTTCTTTTGATCACTGCATCCCCATATTTAAAGGTTTCTAGCTAAAAAATCCAGGGACTAGAGACTGTATTCAACATGTAAAAAGAAAATGTTTCTCTGGCTCCTGAATTCAATTTTGATGTATTACCTTACATGTATAAACCCTTCTATAGGATTGGCTAATGTCATGTTTCTTCTCAGGAATTTTTAGGCCAGTTAAAATCAGTTAAAAAATGTACACTAAAATAGAATTTAAATTGGACAAGCATACAATCATATCTCAGATCAGGTTCTTTTGGCAATGGGATAGGAAATTCATTTTCTCAAGGCATGAAGAGTACACTGGACATTTTTCTTCTGGTCACTAAACCTCAATTTTAAAAGTTCCTAGACTTAAAAAGCTAGGGGCTGAGGAGATGATTCATATATGCATTCATGTATACATGAGTACATGTTTGTGTCTATGTGTTCATACAAATATTCATATTTTCACATTCCATAGAACTCTTGGACCAAGAAATACAAGGTCTTTTCTTCAATATACAATTGTAAACCTGAAATTGGACATGAGGCCATCAAGTCCAACCCTCTCATTTTAGAGAGAAGAAAACTGAGTCCCAGGGTAGTTTGGTGACCAACCCAAGGTCAAAAATGGTACTAATCATCAGAGGTGTGATTTGAAACCAGGTTCTTTGATTTCAGAACAAGTACTCTTTCCATTGTACCATACTCCCTGTCAGTATGACACAACAGAAAGAGCCTTGAATCTGGAGTCAAAGGAGCAACACTCAAATCCCAACATTGTTGCCTTGGATAAATTTAGGTAAATCACTCTGGTCCTCAGTTTCTTCATTTATAAAGTGAAGGAAGTAAACTTAGATGATCTTCAAGATTCCTTCTAGATCTAATATGAGATACTTAAAGGTAGCAAAATGATTACTAGGATAAGAGATTTCAATTATAGTCTTCATTTTTCCATTGAATGTATGATCTTAGAGAAGTCATATAACCTGTTTGTGTTTGAAATCATCCTTCCATAAAAATGGCAATATTTGCCTCTTTCTCATAAAGATAATGGAAAAAAATTAACATTAAATTTAAAAATATTAAGATTTATCCATTTACTAACATTTATCCATTAAGAAACTATTTTGTATACCTTTATTTAGAAACTATTTAAAAAAACTCAAATTGTGCTTTGAAATTTGCTGATGACTATTTGACTAGTAAGTGGTGCAACTGTGGTCCAATACCAGGTCTTCCGATTCTTAAATCTATTAGCTCATCCACCCCACTAAGCCACTAGAGTGTAGATCTTAGAATATTTATGACTTCATTCATTTATCTATTCTGTGCATTTCCAGGGAAAGGCTATCATATGCAAGGAACTATACTGTGTAGTTTGGGGGTAATGGGTGTAAAGAAGAAACAATCTCCATCTTCAGCAAACTTAAAATTTTATAGAAGAAATATGATGCCTGAGCAAATCACTATTATAATAACAAATCACATTTCCTTAAGGTTTATAAAGTACTTTTTCCCAAACATCCCTATGAAGGAAACAGTAGAAAAGGCAGAGGTGACAAACATATTCAATGGGTATTCAGAAGTGAATGAGATCATATATAGAGGGAAGAAGATCAGAGAAACCTCCTTATGAAATGGATAGCATTTGAACTGAATTTTCATAGGTAGATATGAGGGTGGTGCTTATATTATGAGCAAAAGTGAAATGAGGGATGTGTCCCACTTGGGAAATGCCTACTAATCCACTCAACCCCAAGCATATGGTACTCCTAGTGGACCACTTGGAAATAAGCTTGGAAAGGTACACTGAGGCTAGATCATCAGAGGCCTTAAAAGTTAGTTTAAGATATTTTTGTTCATTAGAAAAAAATATTTATCCAGAGAAACAACTCTTTATAATGTGAATATTCATAAGCTATATCTTTTTACACATAAAAATACAGGAGTTTCATATTTGAACATGAAAAACTATTTGACATAAATATGTGTAAATAATGTCTAAAGTGACAGAAAAATTTCAGTTACCCACTTGGCTCCTAGGGTTTAACATGAGAATTAGGAGAATAAATCTCACCAGGCATACACTAAGCATACATCCACATCAAGTTACTGTTGTTGTTGTCATTATTATTACACGGTGCCTTAAGGTTTATAAAGTGTTTTCTTCAAAACAATGAATGTGATGAGTTGCCTGAGAAATGTAGGTTAAAGTCAGATCATCAGAGCACTTGAATACCATCTACATTTTTGCAAACCAGCTTTTTCGACCATTGGAAAAAAATCATGTTTTACAGGAATACAGAAACATAGAAATGACTAATAGTAATCTTTTAAATCAAATATTTTTACACACATTTAATTACCTTAATTTTCAGAGATCAGACTGTCATCAGCTTAAGCCATCTTGAATACAGGTTGAATCTAGACATAAAATATAGAAAGAAATAATCTCTGAGAGGAAAGCCACAAAAATAGCCAAAGATCTGATGATTATTATGACCCAAATCTTATATAACTATAGACTTAAGATCTGGAAGGAATTTAAAAGTTCATTTAATTCAACCTCCTCATTTTACAGATCAGGACACAGGGAAATGAAATGATTTACCCAAGGTTGTAAAAGTATTACTTTGTAGTTAGTGACAGAGCCAGGATTTGAACCCATGTCTTTAAGTTTCAAATCCAGTGATTTTTTTCCCCTTACACAATAGGCTGCTTGAAATGAACAGGTACAATGGATGGAAGCGCAAATATCTAAGAAGAATATTTTTTAAAGAAGGAGAAAGTCCCATGTAAATATTGTCAAGAAGGCTAAAGCCAAGAATGAGCAGAGGTTTGTCAAAAAGGGCTAAGAACAACAAAAGGGCTTTTTGAGCTTTCTCAGAGAAAAGAGTTAAAACAAGAGATAGATTCACTGTATGATATAGATAGGATACTATTACAGTGAGGAAGTGGAAGTAGTCAACACCTACTTTTCTTTTCCCTTCATCAAGAACAATAATATCCAAACTAAAAAGAGTTAAGAAAAAAACATGACCTAAAACAAGTGAAGAGATAATTGCCAGAAATAACTCCAAGTAATCTTGCCCAGATGAAGTGTTCATTGTTAAATTTTCATGTGATCATGTATATCTCAGAAATTGGCAAACAGACTATAATTCTCCAGGTGAGGTCTGATAAGGGCAGAATACAATGGGATTTCCCCTTCTCTCTTCTATGGCCTTCAAAACACAGTCCATGATTGAATTAGCTTTTTTTGTTGCCATGACCCTGCTGACTTATATTGAACTTACAATCTAATAAAACCTTCTTCTTCTTCTTTTGTTTTTTTTAATTGCTGGTCAGATCCCAAATAGTTACATTTGTAGCTTTTACTAAACTAAGGGGGTTTAAGGATGAAGGGGACAAATGTTAGCTCTTTTTTATTAAAAAAAAAAAAGTCATTGGTACTTTTTACACTAGTCAGTTCCTGAAACATTTTCTCCTCTACTCCCTCACCAAATACTTGCCTACAGAACGTTCCTTTGTAACAGAGAAAAACAAGCAAAATCTATGGACAAAATGATACTGTCTGATGTATGCACCATTTCACAACCTTAGTAACCAACCTCTCCACTTAGAGATGGGAACTGTGTTTCACCTTCTATTCTCTGGGACCAAGACCCTGCAATTATTCTGAACTCACATCAGCTTTTGTTGTTATTTTTACCTATATTATTGCAGTCATTGTTTTCCTAATTCATTCTGTAACAATTCACACAAATTTTCTTATGTTTTCTGAATTCCTCATATTAACAATTTCTTACACTGCAATAATATTCCATTATGTTCACATACCATATTTGTCAACAATTCTCTAATTGATGGGCAGCTACTTGATTTCCAGTTGTTGGTTGGTTGGTTTTATTCCGGTTTTTTTCCCTACCACAAAGTGTTGCAACAAATATTTTGGTACATCTGTGACCTCTGTGTCTTTGGCCGATTTGAGGTAAATAGCAGTGGGATGTCAGGGTTAAAGGGTTACCAGACTGATTTAACCAATTTACAGCTTTACCAACAATACATTAATGTGCCTGTCTTCCCACAGATTCTGCAACAAAGACTATTTCTGGCTTTTATAATTTTCCCCAATTTGATGGGTGTGGCAAGAAATCTAGTAAATTGCTTGAAGAAAGAGAGCATTTAGTTTTTTATTGATCTCCAGTCTAACACAACAGTTTACACATAGCAATCACTTAATATTGTCAATTTTAATTTCATCTCAGAGTTTTTGTTTGTTGTGACCATTTAAGTAGTCTATACTTTAACTGGTATTAAACATTACCAGCTCATTAAGTTCAGTTCAACAAATACTTATAAAGCACCTGCTATAAGACAGGCACTGGTATAGATGCTTGCGTGGGAAGATAGAAATGAAACAGTTTATACAGAAGTTTACATTCAATTGAGGAAATACAACATACACACAGGTTAAGTAAATGAAACATAATTTGAGAAGGGGGCTATCCCTATTAACTAGCTAGATCGAGGGAGTTTTCCAATAGGAGGCATCACTGAGCTAAGAATTGAAGGAAGTTAAGGATTTTAAGAGGCACTGATGAGGAAGGAGTAAATCCAATGCATAGCAGGGGTGAAGAGTGCCTCAGCCTTAAGAAAAGCCTATGCAAAGGAAAAAAACACATCAGATGGAATGCTGTTTGAAGCCAATAGGCTTTTTTGCCATGGTATAGGCATATAAAGGGAATTAATGAGAAATCTCAGAAGGGAGTGGGGAGGAGAAACAGAGAATGCAAATTGAGGCCAGAAAGTAATATAAAGCAACCAAAGTTTCCCTCACTAAATAGAAGTACACATATTGTATATGTGTATATTATTTTAAAATAATTGTCATTCAATATTTTTTCATGTTTGTGCTAAAAATCCTAAGCATCAAGCAAATTTTAAAGAACGTTGTGATCTATTATGATTACATTGGAATCAAATATTATGGGCCAACACAAATTTGGAGAATGGGGCTAGCTTCAAAACTGGGGCAATGGTACCATCAGGGACAAGATCAAAATTGTATTATCCCTAGAAACATGAGCCACTATGAAGTCCTAGTACACAATGTTGAGGTGGGTAGGAAATTCTCCTTAGTTTATTTCATTTTAGGTATATTCTGTATATGCTTATATATGTAATTATTGGGTCCCCATTAGAATGTAAGCTTATTTAGCACACAGACTTTTATATTTTTCTTTATATCTCCATTGTGTTTGACACAATGTCTGGAACACAGGCTTAATAAATGCTTGCTTTTTTATATTCAGATCAATATTCAATATTCAGATCAACATTCAGATCATCTGTTCAGATGGAGCCTGGAGTTCCTTGTCATTCACTTTTCACACTTCATAATATTTCTATCAGTAATTCAGTCAATAAGCATTTATTAGGTGCTTACTATGTGCCAAGAACTGTGCTAAGTGCACATTAGATTATTACACAGTTGAAAATGCACATGACATAAATGCATATAAAAATACGTGACAGAAAAGGAAAATGACAAATGTTGAAAGGCATGTGGAAAAATTGGGACACTAATGCATTGTGGGTGGAGTTGTGAACTGGTCCAACCATTCTAGAAAACAATTTGGAACTATGCCCAAAGGGATATAAAATCATGAACACCCTTTGAAACCAGCAAGATGACTACTTGGTCTCTATGCCAAATAGATCAAAGAAAAAGGAAAAGGACTCCTATGTACCAAAAGATTTATGGAAAGTTTTTTGGTGGTGGCAAAGAATTGGAAATTGAGGAGATACCTATCAATTCAGGAATGGCTAAACAAGTGTGGTATATGATTGTGATGGAATGCTATTTTGCTATAAGAAATGACAAGCAGGATGCTTTCAGAAAAACCTGGAAAGCCTCACATAAACTGAAGCAAAGTGTAGTGAGTAGAAGTAGGAGAACATTGTACACAATAGCAGCAATATTGTACAATGATCAAGTACAAATGACTCAGCTATTCTCAGAAATGCAATCAACAATCCAAGACAATTCTGAAGGACTTAGATGAAAAATGTTATCCATCTCCAGGGAAAGAACTGATGGAATTTGAAGGCAGACTGAAGCACACTGTTGTTGTTTTTTTTTCCACTTCATTTTTCTTGGGATGTTTTGTCTGTGTTTTCTTTCACAACATGATTAATATAGAAATATGTTTTGCATGACTGCACACATATAACCTTTATCAAAATACTTGCCTTCACAATGAAGGGGAGGAGAGGCGGAGCCAATATGGCAGAGTGAAAGCAGTGACTTGCTTGAGCTCTCCCTCAAACCCATCCAAATACCTATAAAAAATGGCCCCAAACAAATTCTAAAGCAGCAGAACCCACAAAAAGACATTGTGAACCAAATTTTCAGGCCAAGACAATCTGGATAATTGATTGGAAAAGTATATCGCGCCAGGATGGAAGAGGAACGCAGTGCGGCATGGGTGCTCAGGCGCAGTGAACCTGGAGCAAGCCTCAGAGGACTGAATTGTGGGCAGCTATGGCAGCTTCCAGACCTCTCAACCCACACACACCAAAGACAACTTAGAAGGTCAGTGGGGAAAAGTCTGTTTCTGTGGTGAGGGAGGAGCTAGGTCAGAGTCAGTTCCAGAGTGCAGAGTGCAGGGCTCACAGCCAGGGCGCCAAGGTGGTGGCTGAGTTCTGAGCTTCCGGCCCACAGACTGAGTGGCTAATTAGAGAGGGATTGCAGGGATCTCTTTGCCAGTGCTGAGGCAGGAATCACTTGCTTTGCCCCTGCCTGGATCTGGGTAACAGTTCTGGGCAGCGGTTTTGGGGTGAGGAGGAGTGCTGGCATGGTGGAGCTTGTACTGGCAGTACAGAGGAAACCTTCTTCACAGTTCCAGGACAGAAAGGAGTGCTTGGGGTCACCCAACAGACCAGAGTACAGGCCAAGAAAGGAGTAAACACCTTGCCCCTTATCATACCACCTTGCAAGAACTGAAAAATTTATAGGTCCCTACAAGCATCTCTGAAAACAGCTGCATAAACCCCCAAAGCTTGGGACAGTACATTCTCCACACTGGAAGCTTAACAAAGAGTTTAAAACTCAAGTAATTGGCCTGGATCATGAGCAAGCAGCGCAGAGTCAGACTATATTATCTTACTTCGGTGACAAAGAAGATCAAAACATACAACCAGAAGAAGGCAACAAAGTCAAAGCTCCTATATCCAAAGCCTCCAAGAAAAATATGAATCAGTCCCAGGCCTTGGAAGAGCTCAAAAGGAATTCTGAGAAGAGAAGTAGAGGAAAAACTGGGAAGAGAAATGAGAGTGATGCAAGAAAATCATGAAAAACAGGTCAACAGCTTGCTAAAGGAGACTCAAAAAAATACTGAAGAAAATAACACCTTAAAAAA